AAAAAAAAAAAGGAGACTATGGAAAAGTTAGGGAACAGGGGAATCAAATGGCCAGCTGAAAGATGGTGTTAATAGTGCTGTAGCTGGGGCTGTGTTGCTTTGCATTTGAGGTGCTTCTGTCAGAGATAAGAAACTTTTTTGAGGAATTTCTGGGCAATACCGATGTCCTGGACTCGTTTTTCTAGAAGAACCAAAATTAGGTGCAAAGAAGAGTTTTCTAGCAGTATGATTTTAGGGATGACTTTGGAGAAGTTCATCATTCTTCACAACTCAAGTATTTGTTAGTTTGAAAATAAAGCATAAGTTAGGGAGTCTAATCACTGTAAGTCTTGATGCACTTTATCTGATTAATACAATGATTGTTCATCATTCCCTATTGTGTTGGGGTTTTTTGTGGTGATGTTTTGGTAACTCTCTCTCCTGTGAGAGAGTAGCCAGTTGGCTCCAAGAGAGACCTGTCACTGGCCAGGGCTGAGCCCTTCAGTGGTGTGGTGGTAATTCCTCTGGGATAACAGATTTTAAGAGGGGGGAAAACCCTGTGCAAGGGCAATTGCAGCTGAGAGAGGAGTGAGAATCTGTGAGAGAGCTGCAGACACCAAGGTCAGTGTAGGAGGAGGTGTTGGAGGTGCCAGAGCAGAGACTCCTCTGCAGCCCATGGTGTGGTGAGCCAGGCTGTCCCTGCAGCTCATGGGGCAGATATTCACCACCAGCCTGTGGGGGACACCGTGCTGGGGCAGGAGGCTGAGACCCTGGGAAACCTCCACTGACAGGACCTGTAGCCATGGAGAGAGGATTCCATGCTAGAGCAGGTTTGCTGACAGGACTTTGACCCTGCTGGGGACTTACACTGGAGCAGTCTGTTCCTGAAGAACTGCAGCCCATGGAAGGGACCCATTCTGGAGCAGTTCCTGAAGAACTGCAGCCCCTGGGAAGGACTCACATTGGAGAAGTTGATAGAGGACCATGTGCCATGGGAGGGACCCCATGCTGGAGCACAGGAGGAGTGTGAGGTCCTTCCCTGGAGGTGGAAGTGGCAGAGCATGTGTGATGAGCTGACCCCAGCCTCCACTCCCTGTCCCCTGTGGTGCTGGGGGGAGGAGGTCGAGAAATCAGGAGTGAAGTTGAGCTCAGGAAGAAGGGAGGGGTGAGGGGAAGGTGTTTCAGGATTTGGTTTTATTTCTTATTAACCTACACTGATTTGATTGGTAATAAACTGATTTCCCCAAGCTGAGTCTGTTTTGCCTGGGACAGTAACTGGTGAGTGATCTCTCCCTGCCCTTACCTCCACCCACAAGCCTTTCATTGTATTTTCTCTCCCCTGTCCAGCTGGGGAGGGGAGTGAGAGATCAGGTTTGGTTGCATACCTGGTGTCCAGCCAGGGTCAACCCACCACACCTATGCAATAATCTAACATGTCTAGGATTACTTTTCTTGTTTGCTGTTGTTTGCTCTGAGCATTGGTGGTGATTGTTAGTCATCCTTCTGGTGATGGGTGGTGTATTTTGAAACTTTTTTTCATTCCTGTTATCTCCTGTTAACTTTTTGCATTTCTTTAGCAGTGCTTTACTGCAAGATTTTTGGTTTCTATCTTGTGCATGAAATCACTGAAAGTATGTTTCTGGTTTGGTTTTTTTTTTTCAGTTTCCATTGTAATGGGAATACCTACAGTGAAAAGGAAAGTCAAGTCTTACCTTACAGAAACTCTCCACTCACTTATTGATAAGCTGTCCCCTGAAGAAAAACTGGATTGTGTCATGGTTGTCTTTATAGGAGAGGTAATCACTTAAATACTTTCATACTATTTCTAACCTGCCTTTAATTACAAGTACTAGTCTTTTTCAGGAACTGATGAGGATCTACTTTTTCTTCAAGATGTAGACAGGTGACTGTTGTCTTCCAGGAAAAGGAGAAAGTGTCAGTCTTGGGTTTCTGAGATACAATGCTGATGAGCCAAGGTTTTTCTGTTTAGGAGGAGTAGTGGGCTCAGATGCACTGGATTAGTTATATGCTTATACATGGTGACAAAGAAGTGCTAATGACCTTATTCCTTGAACATCAGAATAATGGCTAAGGAACTCTGGTGTTGTAGAGAAGGTTTCTTCTGATTTTCTTTGTGCTACTGCTTAGTCCTTTGTCAAAGAAGTGCTGCAGTTCATTAGGCACAGATTGTTACTGATTTTATTTTCTGGACTCTGTGGATGTTTGAAGCCCAGACCTTTTAAATGGATGAATTCCCTGTTCAGTTGGACTGTTTGTTCAGTTTGGCTCTGATTTAGTGGAAATCAAATTTAGGAAAATGGTGGAGTGCTTTCAGAAATAATTCAGTTGGATGCTGGGAATTGCATGTACCTATTTTGTTCTCAGTGTTTTTCTCAGAAGTCTGACTTGGAGAGTGGGAAGTTTATAGATATGTTTGACCTTTGTCTGTCTAACAGTGTAGTGCTCTACTGAAACAGTCTTTTATGAGTCCCCCAGGTGAAAATTCAAATCTCCAATTCTAACTGAAAATGGTTTTAATTCTGTGAGCCAGTGTCCATTCAGAGATTGATCAGTGGAAACACAGATAGGCATTTTAATACTTCTGTTGTCAACATATGTTAGAGCTTTCCTTGAACAGTTTGTAAACTTTTTACTTGTGTCTGAGAACTGTTTCTTAGTATTTTCTAATATAAATTGCTATATTCCTCTCCTTGACAGTCAGCCAAAAAGTACCTGTCTGGATTAGAGACTGTTTTTCTGGAAAAAATGCTCTTAAAACATCTGTTGGTTGAGAATGTAAAGGAGCAGAATTCATTCTGAATTACTGGAATGCTGGATGTTTCTTCACTGGATTAGCTGGAGGCATTTTATTATCTTTTAGTGTGGCTTCTTTTTAAGGTTTAAAACTCAAGTTGCATTTGTTTTGCTGAAGGAGGTCTGAGCAGTGGAGACTGTTATCACTGGATTCTGTCTTCTGCAAAACGTGGAGTAGAAGTGAGGAGTCCCCAGCTGCACAGTCTTGTTGCCTTACCCAAGTTTTCCAGAGCTAAATAACTTTCCTCCTTTGAGGTGGTGTGAATTCTTTCATCTGAGGAATGATTCTACACAGGTGACCACGAAGGAACTGAACGTTTTAACACGGTTATTGGTTCTGTGCCCATGGAGAGTTGTGTGGTTTGCTCCAGAGTTGGGATACAGTTACCCTCTGTGTCTTATCTCTGAATCCATCTCTGTGAGAGCAGCACTGTGTACTTACTCACATACCTGCTTGGGGCACTGCAAGCCATGAATGTCTGGGAAAATCTGGAGAGCCAAAGCTTAAATTCTTGTTCTGATATAACCATTCCCTAGATTGGCTTTTTTTTTTCCTTTACTCCATGCAATTCCATATCTTCTCTGCTCTATTATTTCTTTGACCGTATTTCATATTTTCAGGAGTTCAATGTCTTATAGTTTGTTTTGTAATTGCTACAGGGAACTCTCTGAATGATTAATATGGCACATTAAATACTTCATCCTGAACGATGCTCTGCTTTTTCTGAGTTATGCTGTATATTTCAGCAAGATGAGAAGTGTAGGTTTATTATGCATTTTCTCTGGCTATTTGAAGGAAGGCCTAGTCCCCTGGTAGACTTCTGTTGCTCCTTAAGAAAAAGGAAAGGCTTTAACTTTCAAAACAGTTTTATCTGTGAGGTTTCTTAGCCTAAAATTCATTAGACTATTGCTGGTATTAACATGCACAATAATGAAGGCTTATTTAAAAATACAACAGAAGTTTAACCAACTATGATTGTATTAAAAAATGATGGCAAAAGTCTCTGGAAAAAAAGGTATGGGCTCTGCTCAAACATATGTGCCGTTCAAGTACAGCAAGAAATGGTTGTAGCATGAGGTTATGTAATTTTGCTAATAAGCTTAAAATCTGTGCCTTGTTTATAGCTTGTACCAACAAAAAAAAACCCCAACCAACCAAAAAAGAAACAAAAAAAAAACCCCAGAAGACTTTACAAAAATGTGTTCACAATAAAATGATATGGAAAATAGTATTTTAAAAGGATTTTATTATTTTTCTTGCTAACTTTATTTGCAGAATCAAATCGACAGTGTTTAAGAAGCTCTGCTGGGAGCTGTAGTCATGGTCTGTAATCTCTTTGTGCTAAGCACCTTAAAAAACTCCTTAACTGCTATTTTTTTAGGGAGTTCCATCTCACTCATTTCTTGTAATTTCATTCTTAGTGGAAAACAAATTAAAAATTAGGCTAATGGCCTTCTGAAAACAGCATAAACAGTGTCAACAGATGAGCTAGTAAATATAGATGCATTATGGTTGCTAAATAAAGAGGTCTGCATATTCATTTACTCCATGGATATTTCTCAGTAATGTAATTATACACAGTAAATTTCCATACTGGAAGTTCAAGGAATTCTAAAATATCTCAGCTGATGTGATATCTAATCACCAATTTAAGTAATTGCTAGAATTGCTTGCCAGTAAACTCTCCCAATTGTTCTGATAACTGACAATATGTCTGTGTCCTCCAATTTGTTAAAATACCTTTACTGCAGAATAATTTGCAGGTATTCATTAGGATGACTAAGAAATAGGCATGATTCATTATACCTCTGTACTTCAAAATCTTTTTTATTCCCCCTCACTAGGTAGCTAGTTCATAGGCTCATCAGATCACTTGAAAACAAGCAGTTCACATCTTCTAAACATGCTCTGTATGAGAACTTGCTTTCAGAATAAACCATAGGCTCTAGGTTTAAGAAACTAGGAACTCAGATGAAAATTGTATTCTAGTATTTTTATTTAATAAGATTTTTGATTAACGTGGGAAACATGGTTTTGAAGTACTTTGCATGATCATAGTGGAACAACAGACATATATTCATGTACACACTACTGAATGGGAGAGAAATCAGAATACTCCTCTGGTATCTAAGCAAAAATAATGGGGTTTTTTTCCTGTGGGGGATCTCCAGCCCTGGTCCTTTTGGGCCAGATTTTCTGGATTAACATTGCAATGAGCTCTTCCCCTTGTTCCCAGCCTGGCTGGCAACAAGGGGTTCCTGCTTGAGTCCATCATCAGTATAAACCACATCCTAGTCCTCCACAGGCTGCAGGTTGGTCTCTGCTTCATCATGGGCTCATCAGCAGGTCACAGTCCCTTCTGCTCAAGTTTAGACTGGAGTTCCAGCCTGTCCAGTACAGCAGCACAGGAACAGCAGCAATGCCCTGGCCCTCTGCCAGCCCAGGCACATCCCTATGGCTGTGACCAAAGTGTTCCCAGGCACAGCACAGTGAGGTGATAAGCAATACAGCAAGAAGCAAAAGCAAAAAGCAACAGCTAATGAGTGTTAGACTCTACTGTACAGTCAGGAGAGCACAAAGTGAGTGCCATGGCAAGCACAGAGCCTGCTTGTTACTAGCTGAACAGCACTGACAGCTGTAAATTCAATCTAGGACATCCCAATCAAATCTGTCGTTGTCTCAAACTCTTTGTGCCCCACGTTGGGTGTCAAAATGGACTGTTGTGGTTTAACCCCAGGCAGCAGCTAAACACCACAGAGCTACTCACACACTCCCCCAGCCATGGGATGGGGAGGAGAACTGGAAGGGTAAAAGCTAAAAAAACTCATGGGGTGAGATAAAGACAGTTTAATAGAGAAAGCAAAAGCTGCACACACAAGCAAAGGAAAACAAGGAATTCATTCACTGCTTCCCATGGGCAGGAGGTGTTCAGCATCTCCAGGAGAGCAGGGACCAGCACATGGAATGTTACTTGGGAAGACAAACACATCACTCCAGATGTCCCTCCTTCCTCCTTCTGCCTCCCACCTTATACCCTGAGCATGATGTGCTATGGTATGGAATATCCCTTGGGTCAGTTTGGGTCACCTGTCCCAGCTGTGTCTCCTCCCAATCTCCCATACACCCCCAACTCCCTCCCCAGTGTGGCAGTACAGAAAGCAGCAAAGGCCTTGGCTCTGTGTGAGCTCTGCTCAGCAATAGCAAAAACATCTCCATATCATCAACCCTGTGCTCTGCACAAATGCTAAACGTTACCCCCATACTAGCCACTGGGAAGCAAGTTAGCTCTGCCCCAGTCAAAACCAGCACACATTTACAGTGAAGAAAATACATCTTAGACTTGTTCTAAATATATCACAAATTATTGTCTGTCCACTTCATTAATCAGAGACTGCACTTAGCACAGTCTTTTGTATAAACCGTAATCAGTGTGTGCTGGAAGGACTATAAGCCCTTGATTTGACCAAAAATATCAGAAAGACAAATCATTTCAGGAAAAATTGGAAGGCACTAGAGGTATGCAAAAGCATTTTGCTATTTCTGTGCACTGCTGATTACATCTGACTAGGTAATAATTGACCAGCCATTTGTTCTTGGAGCACTAAGCCACATGTGACACTGTTATTGTATATTGATTATTTAAATCTTACTCTGTTGTTTCATGTATATACAGTTCACTTAGGCTAGCAAAATTTGCATATCTTGATTATTTAACTGTCATCATATCATCTCTTTATGTAAACTGTGGCTGCCAAATGAAAAGATGTTGGTCTTCAAAAGTGTTTTCTCTGTGCTCCTTTTATCGAGGTGGGTTTTTTTTTTTTTTTTTTTTTTTTGCTTTGTTATTTCTTTGGAAAAGTTTCTGTACTGATTGGATCGGTGTGACACAAGCACCCAGTTAGGTACCACCCTGTGTGCTGGTATGAACAAAGCCTCAGCAAATTAGGCATTGGGTGCACATAGTGGGGCAAACCTTGCTGA